CGCGGTGTTGTGTTATGCTGTCTGTTGACACAGCAAAACTTGTTTGGGATGTGATCAGACATGATATCTCGTACAATGGTTTCACACGTTTCTACTACAGGTTTATCAGGTTTGTTGGAACGGCATGGAAATGTAGTTCGTGGAAAACGTTCGAGAATAAAATAAAATGCTGAGGCATATCTTTCCACTCCAGCTTGGATAATATCTAGAGAAAAGAAAGAAACCAACAAGCTTGTTGATAAGTCGCCTCAGATTGATTAATCTTTACTGTGAAAGGGCTTTATAAATAATCTGAAGGGTTTTGAAGCGGGAGAACGTACATACCCAAGTACCTCAAAATCAGACAAATACTTTGGGAGCAATAGTTATTTGTAGGGTTTTTATCGTATCTCAAGAAATCACAGTGCTGTTCCTGAGAATACATTGACAGTACGCCGGGCTGACTGGTCACTCCCGACTGATGAGGCTCCCCGTCAGTTGACGGGCGCAGTGTTCCCGAGAAGAAGATTATTATTTTCCTTTTCCAACAAAACCTAACATCATGCTTCTCAAGGGTTTCGGTTTCTTGCTCGTCTTTTTCATCACTTCAATCTCCCCTGTACGGAACACCCGCGCGAGTGTTGGGCCGGGGTATACGGGACTCGTACACGTTGCAACAACAGTGATAACGCATCAACAGCGACCACCTCAAGCCCCAACAACAGTAGCAACAGCTAAAACAACAACAACAGCAACATCAACAACAACAAGAACAACAGCACTACGAGCAGCAGCCGCAAACAAACCCGCCCCAGCATTACTGCCGATATCCATCAAAATAATCCCGAGAAAACCGTCAAGTTTGGCGAAGTCTAACATCAGCCAAGGGGGTCTAGAAGATTTAGAAGGTTCGAGGTACTTTTCTTCCTCAACGCAAAATCAAGAAGAAGCTACCAAAACAGCTTTGTGGACTCAAACCCCGACCTCAACTAAAGACACCAGCAACAGCTCAAATCCGATCAATTCTTCAACAACATCTAGTGACATGAAAAACCAGACCAGTGCTGGTGAAGAGGGTAGCGTGCCTGCTATGGGCAAACTACGGATTAGCCTCAAACTGGTGACAAAAACGTCCCAAGCTGCCCCCAGAAAGACAACAACTCTCGACACTTTCACTGTTGCGCCAACCGCCAGCACAGAGCCGGCTCTGCCTGTGTCTCAGACACCCACAACAATGTTATCTACCACAGCGACAAACACGACAACCCCAAGACCAGGTATTGCTTGTGTCTTACGTGTGAACATGTTTCCTTGAGGCTGTCTATCTACACTTGTTCTTTTATTGATGTCATTTATAGTTATATTGTAATGATGATGATAATGATATCTTAATAATTAGCCCCTTGGCCTGGCTCGCTCTGAGGCCTTCCGTCTAGCCTGTAACCACACGTAATCTTAAGACCCTCTTTCTTAGGCCCATTTCCCTGCTAGTATACAGCGGTCATTTAGTTTTTCTCTCTGTTCTCCTGAGGAAGCCCAAGAGGCGAAACTTGAGCTGTGTCTATAAAACTAATTTTTAACATTTTATATTTTTGTGTTATTTTTCTGAAATTCAAACAAGACTCTCCCTCCTACTCTGCTTTCCAAACAATGATGATGATGATGATGATGATGATGATGATGATGATGATGATGATGATGATGAGGATGAGGATGAGGATGATGATGTTGCTGCTGTTGTTTTTACTATTGTTGCTGTTGGTGTTGTCATTAATATCATTACTAATTATTCTATGATTACTTCCATTTCTATTGTTTCTGTGCGTTACGCACTCTCAGATGTGAACAACAGTCGATAAACTGACCACAGTATTCGCATATTCACATTTTGTCTTGTTAGAGTGGAATTGTTTCATAATGTGTCATACTTTTGAATTTTAAGATGGGAAATTGTTTGAGTACGAAAATGTATGTTTGATAGAATTAATACTATTGCCACTGGTATTGCTAAAGTTCTGTTTGTTGGAATTTTAAATGCGCAAATGTTTAAATAACCAGCCTCATAATGTATTAATGTCTTGTTGTTTAAGGGGAAAGCCTTGTAATTTACAAACCTTTTGTAAAGTCGTTTCTGTCAGCACATTCCCGAGACCAGTCTGATTAGAAAAGTATATGAGGTGGGGAGGGACGACCGCGGTGGGGTGGGGGGGGGGGGGGGGGGGGGGGGGAGGAGGAGGAGGTGGGGGAGGCGAGTTTGAAAAAGTTGTGTCCACGCACTGGGGTATCCTGGCATAGTAAGGCATTATTGTTCAAATGCCAGATCTGAAACAGACATCGGCAATCCTGGCTCGCCACTGATTTCTCTGTTCGGATGTTCTAAATAAAAGACCTTTATCATTCTGGTCTTTTCTCGTCACCCATCTGTTCACGTTCTTTTTGTGAGTTATTCTTGGTCTATCTCTGCCCCTTTTGCCTTCTATTTTTTCAAATCTATCTATTATTTTTTTTATAGTGAGAGCAAGATGTTCAAGGTCTTTATGTAAGTTTAAGTGTTCTTGGAATGTATTAACTGATTTATTAATGAGCGGCTCTCGCGGACGTCTTCCAGCGCAACCTCGTTTGCTTTCTTTTCCTTCCATGAATATCTCAAAAGTCTCCTCAGAACTTAGATTTCTGTTCTTTCTAGTCCCCTCGGTCAAAATAAAGAAAATTATGTAATATTCTCTTCCACGTGTCTACACCCAGCTCGACCGCCGTACTCTGTTCCTACGTTAAGCTTACTTCATGTAAACGTGCACATTTGTGAGCTGTACCTGAGAGTGTAAATATGAGTAGAACAACGCACCATCCCGTATTGCCTGCATGAAGTTGAGTTGTCATGGATGCCATTTACCGTGGTATCTCACGAGATCGTGGTGCCGAAGAGAAAAAAAGGCATTTCGAGAGATCAACTCGCACTGTGCCAAAAATAGGATCAACCGAAAATAATCTGGTCAAAGTGGCCAGCACAGCTATGTGAATTCTGAAAATAAATCGACAGTACAAATATGTGAACAAACGGCTTTAGATTCAAGGCAAATATTTGTTCTTCCTTAAGGAACACCCTCCTTCACCCCTGTCTCTCAACACTCACCCCC